TTTGTTGTTAAAGATCGGTGAGTTTGTTCATAAAGATCGCTTAGATTGTTCTAAAATATCGCTTAGTTTAATCTTAAAGATCGTTTAGTTTGTTGTTAAAGATCGTTTAGTTTGTTGTTAAAGATCGTTTAGTTTGTTGTTAAAGATCTTTTAGTTTGTTGTTAAAGATCGTTTAGTTTGTTGTTAAAGATCGTTTAGTTTGTTGTTAAAGATCGTTTAGTTTGTTGTTAAAAATCGTTTAGTTTGTTGTTAAAGATCGTTTAGTTTGTTGTTAAAGATCGTTTAGTTTATTGTTAACGATCGTTTAGTTTGTTGTTAAAGATCGTTTAGTTTGTTGTAAAATATCGTTTAGTTTGTTGTTAAAGATCGTTTAGTTTGTTGTTAAAGATCGTTTAGTTTTTTGTTAAAGATCGTTTAGTTTGTTTTAAAGATCGTTTAGTTTGTTGTTAAAGATCGTTTAGTTTGTTCATAAAGATCGCCTGGTTTGTTGTTAAAGATCGTTTAGTTTGTTCTTAAAGATCGCATTAGTTTTTGTTAAAGATCGTCTAGTTTTTGTTAATGATCGCTTTATTTGTTCTTAAAGATCGTTTAGTTTGTTCATAAAGATCGCTTAGTTTGTTGTAAATTCGCTTAGTTTTTTTCATAAAGATCGCTTAGTTTGTTCTTAAAGATCTTTCAGTTTTTTTAAAGAACATTTAGTCTTCTGTTAAAGATCGCTTAGTTTATTCTTATAAATCATTAAAGATCATTTGTTTTGTTCTTAAAGATCATTTAGTTCGGTCTTAAAAATCGTTTAGTTTGTTCTTTAAGAGCGTTTAGTTTGTTATTAAAGATCGCTTAGATAGTTCTTAAAGATCGCTTAGTTTGTTTTAAAGATCGTTTAGTTTGTTCATAAATGTCACTTAGTTTGTTGTTAAATATCATTTAGTTTGTTCTCAAAGATTGCTTAATTTGTTCTTAAATGTCGCTTAGTTAGTTGTAAAATATCGCTTTCGCTTAGTATTAAATGACCGAAAACCTGAGTAACTTTCGGCCGGATGGCCGAAAGTCTAAGTCAATTTTGGCCGAAACCGAAGAAAAATCGAAAGTTAACTTTTCTCTCTCGGCCGAAACCAAAATTAAGCCGAAAGTTATCTTTCCATTTTCGGCTTAAACCGAAACTCGGCCGAAAGTGATAAAATGGCCACTTTCGGCGCCGAAACCGAAGCCGAAATTCGGTCGGCCTCTACTCGGAACACACAATTTTTGAGAGAGTTGCTCTCCACCTTCCCTTGGGTTGTTCAAGCGGACCATTGGCCTTTTTGGAAAGGCCTGTATGTGTGTAAAGCTCTCTTCCACTGTGAACTTTAACAAGTCAAAATTCAGAGCCAAACTTACTGACGAGCTTCTTCAAGCTATTTCCTCACTCAAGTTAAATTTGGCTCAGGTCTCAGGGAACAATATGTATGAGGAAGTAAGTGAAGCCTAGTCAAATCTTCGCATGAAGTGTAAAACTTTTCAGGTATGTTTATATTTTGGTTGCTGCACTCAAAAGTCAATCAGCTGGACAACTGTCTTTTATCTTTTTAGTTTATCCCGTCTACTTGAATGGCTTATTTTTTGGTTTTACTTTGTGGTCTCATCTTCAAACTGCATCAAGCTTTATGAAACAATAAAGAAGAACAATCAAACAACAACACACACACAAAAAAAGAGTCTGCACATTGAATAAAACGAAAATATATTTAGTGCAAATTTGTAAAACATTAACAAGAAATCAGTGGGGTCTCACAAATCGCATTCACACAAGGAACAACCGGAAGTGGCGTTCTTCTTGAACCCGTCCATGCCACAGTCTAAATCACATGTAAAAGGGGGGCAAGGGTTTGTTATGGAGGACACGGTGGTGTCTGTTTCTACGGACAATGCCGTCGTGGCCGTTTCTGGTTCCCCCATTTCTGTCACGGGTCGTGTTGTCGAGTCGGTTTGTACCTCAGTGGAAGCCGATGTTGGTGGGGGTAATGTTGTTGGTATCGCCGTCGCGGTGGGAGACAGTTTGTACTGACAGATGTAGGAGTGCTCTTCATCTTGGTGGAAGAAAATTAGAAAAGAGGTTTCCTCGCAGGGGAACTCCGCCCACCTCCCCCCACTCTCCATGTCTATAACCGTGCAGTCATTTTCATTGTGGTTCTGAGCATGGTAGTAAGAGTCAGCGTGGGGGCCATCTCCGCTGTCCCAGTTTGTGAAGATCAAAGCCGACCCGTCCTCCCATTTGTAAATATTTTCGTTGTCGATGTCGTTGAGTCCGATCCAAAGCTTGTCTCTGAAGTCCTTGTACGTGCTGACCAGCTGGTGGTAAATGAAGCCCTGAATCTCTGGTTTGTTTACTATGGCCAGTGTTCCACCGTGGTGTTCGCAGTCCGCCTTGGCCACGGAATGCCTGCGCTCACGGTTGATGACGAACTGGAAACACGAGTCTTGGTATACCTGGAGGTAGGTGTCCCTCGGTACACTGGCTGGG